TGGCTGGCTGGGAAGGGTCCTATCTCTTAAATTCCCTCCACTATTGCCTGTTGGGTCTGTCACATTGGTATTCTAATGCAACAAACTAGATTTTGATGTGTTTATTGTGCATAAGATTTTAATGATGTATTTAAAGCTAACTTATTTGGGTTCCACATTCTCAATCCTGAGGTTAAAATGATTCTGTTTTAAAAAATCTGTCCTATAAAATTCTATAATATGAAACTCAACGTAAGAAAATCTTAAATGGCTTAGGAGGAACTTTCTAGATCCTGACTTCTAGTTGAGCTAGACATTGTAAGTTGGTTTAAACATAACAGTTTATAATCATTGATTCTCCTCTGATGATAAGCTTGGAAAGGTATCAGAATGCCACTTAAGAATATTAATCTTTTAACAAATGCTGGCAATTTGGCCTCGCCACCTCTCACTCTTCAGCTTGTGGCTAAATAGGATTTTTTTCTTTTTTTTTAAAAAATAGACAATTTATAAGGAAAAAATATATATAAACACTCTTTAAGCAATTTGACTATAAGCATTAGGTCACTGAAAAACTCCATAAGAAATAGTAAAATATTCAGAATGGACATGAGTAACCTTATTTCTTTGTTTGTGTGTTTGTTTTGGTGTTGGATTTTATTTGTAAGTTTATTGCTTCTGTGTCTTATTCTCCTTCTTCAGATTAGGGTTGTAAAGTACAGGTGCTGTCCCTAATGAAGTTACAAGGCAACACTGTATTTTTGAGACCTAGGAATGGCAGATAGAGCCACTGCTATCTCAGCGGCTTCAGAGACACTATGGCTAGGACAATAGTCAAGCCTGCACCACGATGCACAAAAGAGTAAGTCTCCTGGCTTATTCAGGACACTTTGGTTCAGAGGATGAGATAGAAAATTCTTAAGTGTAGCTTAGCTGCTGCCTCACATCTTTTGCATAATATAACATTAAAAAAAACATGCTATGAATAAGGGGTAACGAGTATAAACCGTATAATGCACTGGCTCTTCTCCTGGGCATTCTCGTAGTAGGCTTCATCTAGGCTGACAGGAGAAACAAGTCTTAGCTAGGCTACTAATGAACGCCATGTAAATTTTCCTGGTGCAAATATTCAATTGTGAAGTAATTTAAAGGATGCAGCTCAGAGCCTCACAGGGAAGATGAGGGCATTGGAAAGGGAAGAGAGAAAGCAAGTTTGAGGAGGGGAAAGGTAAGAAAGAATAAGAGAAAAAGGGAAGGGATCACAAAAGCTAAAGTGCAATTTTAGAATATAAATTATTTGAAAAGCAGAAAGGAGATTCTAGATTGCTACTATTTGTATAGGCATGGTTTTATTCAAATTTAAATGGGTTGTTTCCTTTCCCTTCTCAGATATACTGCATAATAGAATTTGAATGGCTTAAAGCTACTACATATTGTTGGAGAAGGGACACAAAGAACACTAAAGAAGCTGAACAGTGCAAGGGAGTCTAGGAAATTGGATGGAGAGAAACAGAGAGGAAGTTGTTTTTACACTTTTACAAGAAAGCTGTTCCAGTTATAATTACTGATTCCCTTTAGCTGAACTTTGCTTCCTAAATAAAAGGGCTTACTTTAAAAGTGAAAAAAAAAGAAGTGTTCAAAAAAAAAAAAAAAACTTCAAAATGTAGACTGAAAAAAATAATTCACAGAGCAACAAAAATTCTGGAAGTTTCTATGCATAGAGATCTAAGCAAACATTTCTACCAAGTGATGGAGAACAGGCGTTTGAGACCCTGAAAAATGAAGATACACACAAGTAGAGTAGTTTATTATGAACTAATACTTTAAAAACAAGTCAGTCCTACAGAAGAATAGTGTTCAAATGGAATGTTTAAAAATAACATTTATTAATAAATATCTTATAAAATTCTAAATTAATAGATTCCTGTTCAAATTTTGCTTTGGTCCTTGAATTCCACTGTATACATACATACATACATACATATATATAGATATATTTTTAGATGGTTTTTATTAATCAGCACATTCTATCTTAACTGGATGGCTAGTTTTATAGCAATTGCTGATGTTTAATACTCTCCAGCCAAAGATGGGTCTTTTACTGCAGCTGGTTTGTGACTTTAATGACAAGCTCAACTAATACACTAAAATTTACGTAACAGGCAACAGCGACCTGAACATTCACCATTGACGTTTCTCTATTCAGAGTATGGGCTGCATTTTATTTCATTGGCTGAATAGGCTCCAAAGAACATTTGTTCTAAGCAAATCACCCTAATGATTATAACTCATGCCATGATAGCCCACAGACTACTTGCCCCTTACAGGCATGTGAAGACTGTAACTTGCATACATTGGCTTGGGAGTAAGAGAGGGATAAGTAGGAGTGTAAAGAGAAAACATCTGACTTAACACCAGGCTTTTAAAAGACTACATTCATTCATGGCTGGGGTTTTCACTCTACATGTTCTGGCATCATATGCTGAGAAACATGTCAAGGAGAAACAATTAAGATGTGGACGCTTCACTGTAGAGGATTCACCCAGTAGAAATGCTATCAGGTGGAGCTATCTAATTTGTTCACTCCTATCACGTAAGGCAGGGGAGGCATGCAAGTCCCTTAGGTAGGCTGGCAGTGATTTCAGAGGCAGATTCTGCAGATAACAAAGAAACCACATATGAATGAAGAGAAGCAACGTATAAGGCTGTTCCTTTCGTAGGATTAGTGTTCTGAAGATCATTACAATGGATTCACAAATATATAGATGGATAGCCCAGTAATGGATCACCACAGAAGATTGCCTTATATAGTACTTGGCCCAGGACAAGGCAATGTTTTGTTCTGTCATACATGGGGTCGTCATGAGTTGGAGCTGAATAATAATAACTGTAACTGGTCATGAGAGAAGAAAGTGGTAGAAAGGAGATGTTCTCCTAGATTGGCAAAAATTGATGAGCAGCCAAAAGAGATTTTCAGGCAGATGGATTATTCTGGGGTCTGGAAAAGACTGGACCTTTAAGAGAAATACTTCATATAGGTAAGCTCATTGTTGGATTTGGCCAATGAGCCTTTGTCTTCAGAATTTCAAGAAGCACTCACAAATAGCTGGCCTCTTTCACTCTGTGTTATTTCCACACTGCTAATGAACATACCTAAAGGCCCTGAGTATAACAAGAAGACAGTTTATTCTAATTATACGTTTAGGCCGGTTTGCTAACGTGTGTGGTTGGCTTGCCTACTTAGCATAAAAAACAGACATAATTGAGCTATATATAATGCACATCAGTCAAACTGTCAAGTTGCTGAATTAAGAAAACTCAGGCAAGTTCTTAACTGCAGAGGCATTCAGTTTAACAACTAAATATTTTAATCAAGAGGTGGAACAGTAGTAAACTAAACCGCAGTCTTAGTGACAGGTCACTCCCTGGGCATTCTGATCTTACCAGTAGATTAAAAAAAAATCCACTTCATTAAGTGCTATGCATGCAGTAAAGAAAGAAAAGGTTTTATTTACTTAAAGCTAAATATAAAATAAAAATTAAAAAAAATTTAAAACTCAAACAAGTATTTTAACGGACTCTTTTTCTTTTCTTTTGGGATATAGGAGGCCCGAGAGAGTTGTTTTTGAAAAAGTCACTCACAATTTCAAAATAGAGATAACAAAGTTAACTTCTTTTTAAAGCTAAGCTTTAATAATTTCTTAAGAAGCCACAGTCAGGATAAACTTCAGCGTTTTACTGCTGGGATTAAAAACAAATTTTTACTATGAATTCAGCATTTAAAATACTTGAAAATGGCTATCTGCCTAAAATATAATAGAAAATCATTTTCATTTGTATTTTTTTCTTTTTATGTCTTTTTTTTCATTTGTTTTTCATTTTTGTTTTGATTCTTAGACCGTATATCTAAGTCATGAGCTTCACAGGACACTCCTTTTGAAAGCACTGGATACATGGAAAGACTGTTGATAAATACTGAGTTTAAAAGTAAATTAACAGATAAACTGAAATTAGTTATAAAAATGATGCATCATGACCCTCCTGCTTGCTTTTTTCCTCCAAAATACATTTTTACACTAGAATGAGAGAAAAAAATGAAAAACATATCCTTCCTTTATCTGAACTCTTACAAAAGCTACACCTTTTGGAAAATACTGTTCTTTTACAACCCATGGACACACAGACACACACACAGACACACACACAAGGAGATCAAGCATTCAAATGGAGATGAAACACCAGCACCTGTCTAGACTGCTAGAGGGAAACTTAGGCCCTGTTATCAGTGAGATGCAATATTCAACAGCACAGAAGAATGGCTTGTTCCAAGGAGGCACAACTGTGGTTGGGGGACTATCTGCTTCTGCTAGTGGGCATGTCCATATAAGTTGTTGAAAAAATAAATTAGAATTGTTTAGAAGAGTGGAGTGGCCTGTGCCTTGCCCGGGATTCCTTCAGCAGCGGAAGGTGCTTGAACAGTTGTGGGAGGGCTGGAAACACACCTACTGAAACACTGGGTTTTCTTTCTTTCTTTCCCCAGTAGTTAGTCTACTTTTACCCCCCAGAACAGCAAAGCTGGTTCTACAGGCATAAGAGAAAAATAATAATAAAATAAATCTAGGCTACTAGCAGCTGATGATAGCACAATGTAATTTGTATAGTGAGTATAGCCTATCTGAATTATTATAAAGTCCATGGATTTTCAACATTATAGACAGGCTAGATAAAACCAGTTGTAATTCAAGGATATGATGTTATAGTCTCGTGTCATAGTGTGGACTTTCACTATTGAGCTCCCTTTCCTTGTTCTCCACAGCTGGCATTCAGCAGTACTTCACCTGTAGTTACACCACCTTTTACTTGCTCTGATTGTTGAAAACATTAAATCAGGCACATTAAACATCTCCTGGTTTCTATTCTACAAAAACATGAGTTGAATGAACCCCAGCTGTGTGTTCCAGGCAAGTGAAGCAATGGCTAGGTCCACATTTTTGAGAAGTTTGCTTTTTTTTTTTTTTCCCCTTTAAACATTATTTTCTTCTTTACACACAATGCTGAAGGAGAGAAAAATAAAAGAGAATACAGTTAAAATGAAGAGTAAATAGTGAGCCCAAGAAAAAGTGGAAATGGAGAAGAAAATTGGGCATTGGAGCAAGTGGACCAAAAGGAGGAAGGGAGGTGGTGAAATGTTTGGTGGTTTGGTTTGGAAATCAATGGGCCTTAAAATTTTTCATAGTGAAAGAAAAAAATTGTGAAAAGGCTCTGTGTTCAACTGAGATACTGGTGACCTAAGTGCCCAAACTCAACACATGTGATGTCATCGGACTTCCCACCCAGTCACGTTGGATGGATCTTACATGACATCTAGGTATGCCTTATTTTGGCTAAAAGCTGCAGTTTAACGAGATTCACTGTTTCAGGCAAAGAGTTGGGCTGGTAAAAATGAAACCATGATTATATACAGAAAGAGTTCAGTTTATAAACAAGTAACTGGTACCAGAAAATTGGAGAAAAGCACCAAAGCATTTCCCAAGCTGATAAGTATTAATTGCATAACTCCCTTTTTTCTTATATAACTAAGTATAAAAGACAACATTTCCATATAATAACTATAAAAATGAAAGCCAGTCTTTGAAGGGCTGAGGAGTCTTCCAGGTCGGAGATAATTCTACAAATGCCCTTAAAAGAAAGGACGCATGGTATGCTACAGCTCTTCTAGGAGGCAAGGTCTGACCCATGGATTTTAAAGAATTGGATTCAGGTCTGTTCTGTGAGTGGTGAGCTGACTGAGGGTGGAGCTTCCTACGACCTCGCTGACAGATGAGGAAGTGGTGATGGTGTTATGCTGGATGACTTGTTGCTGGGAGCAAGCTGGGACAGGGCTTGCAGGAGGGCTGCTCTCTGGACCTAGGACAAAACACACATACACACACACCAATATAGCTCTTTCTTGCATGGACTTGTGGACTACCAGCAAAATGTTACTAGACATGGACTTGAAGTAGAAGGGTTTCACACATTTTCTCCTGGAGGTTAATCTCAACACTTTATTTTAAATTGTAGTCACAAAGCTATGCCTTCCCAGGTTATAGCTACGAGCAAAGCCATGCTTTCTACATCAGCAAAATGGGTTGATTGTGAGTCCTGGTATGTGAACTTCCCCATCTTGTATTTTCAAATAGCCATCCATATATCAAATGTGGAAAAATACTCACATGTGGTGGGAGAATCTGTGTTGCTCAATCTAAAAAATTATTTGAAAATAAATTGACCTTCAGTCATGAACCCCTGCTCCTCCCACCATCCCCTACTCAACTAGTATTTAATTTATTGCCATTCTAGGTGCAGAAATTGCAATCTAGAAAGACAGATCCATTTCATGCATTGGTAAACAGACCATGTCACTAGCTTTTCAGTCTGGTGAGTGACGTGAATGTATCCTGAGGTATTAGATGTGATTCATCCAATGCTTGTTTCCCAGCCCATGGATTTCTCTGGCAGACTACAAGGCCAATGGCAAGTGGGCTTCAACAGACTACCTTCCTACTGGCTGCAGAATTGAAATTGGTAAGATTTTACCAGAGAAATCCTACCAGGAATACTTTAGCCAGAAATTAGCAGGAGATGATGAGCATGGTGACTGATAGTGGTCAAGAAAGATACCACTGGTGGATTATGCCAGGTGGAATAATCTGGCAGCCATTCAAGAACTCTAGTATGGGTTCTGGAGGTCTGGTAGCATAGTGCCTAAGGCACTTGACTGCTAACCAGAAGGCTGGCAGTTCAAACCCATCAACCACTCCTCAGAAGGAAGGTTGGGCAATCTACTTCCATAGAGATACTGCCTCGGAAACCCAAGGAGGGGTCGCTATGAGTCGGGGCCATCTCGACAGCACCTAACAACAACAACAGTATGGGTTCTGCCTGGGTGTGAAATCTACACTTCCTTTTTGCTCTTTCCATAAAATCCAATTAGTGGTAAAAAACAGGACACTCAAAAAAGCAGATCAGGCAGTGACTTACTTAGATATCCTTGGGATTCTTTCTGCATGGCTGTTATTGGACAGTCTTTATGTGTTAACAACAACTGTTTCAGTTGTGCCACCTCATTTTTCAACATGGACACTTCATTCTAGAAAGAAACATAGCAAAACCATATTGAGAAGACCAGAGAAAACAAACTCAAAGCATTTTGAACTTTAAATAATGAAACAGGCAAACTTTTCTGTTATATCTGAATGACATCTAGAATATTATTCAGCAGGGTTTACCTGAAAAATATAGTTTGTCATCAATTCGGCCCACACATTTATCAAGGGCTTTCTGAAAAGACTGGGTTTCACTTCAAGAGGTGAACACAATTACAAGGCAAGAACACACCCTTTAGGTATTGGGCTCTGGAGCCTGGTGTCTTGGGTAGGAATCTCAACTCCACTCTTTTTGTATGACCCTGGGCAGATAATGCATCCCGGCTGAGTCTCAGAAACCTCTTTCTTCAGATAGGAATAAAAAGAGTACAGGTAATCCCTGACTTATGACAGAGTTCTCTCATAAGTCGGTACTGACGTAAGTTGAATACTTCATTTGTTTTTAGATTTCATTATTATTGCCTTTCATTATGAGTATTTTTATAAATCATAACATTGAACATCTGCAAGTGAGTATCTGAGAATGGTAACATCAACAAATTACGTGCTGCAACACTATATGCAGTACATATGACTAAAGATAAGATGTAAAAATGTAACAAAAAAGATGGTCATAAGTATAGTTCCTTGTAATATTCCGTAAGTTGGGGACTACCTGTATGCACTTCATGGGGTTGTTGTGAGGATTCAATGAAGTAGCAGTTGTAAAACACTTAGAAAAATACCTAGTACACAATAAGCACTCAATCACCTTAGCCATCTTAGTAATCATCTTTGCACTGCCTTACAAGCTCAGTTTGGCATTTAATATGAGGACAAGGTATGTATGAAGTGTACATTAGGAAGAATTATGTGGCAGGATATTAAAGATTGAACTGTGCTGCCCTCAAAATATGTGGTAAAGTCCTGTCCCCTATACCTGTGGGTCCTGTTGAGAAATAGGGTTTTTTGTTATGCTGATCAGGTCATGCCCCAATAAGGTTGTCCTAAACCAAATCACTTCTGGGTTATAAAAAGAGCAGAATAGATGCAGGGACACCCACATGGAGAAGACAGATGCCAAGGAACTCACAGGACTACCAACAAGAAAGGACTTCTCCCTAGAGCCATACTCTGACTTTGGATTTCCAGCCTCCCGACCTATGAGAAAATGAATTCTTGTTCTCTAAAGGCATCTACTTGTGGTATTTTTTGTTACGACATTGGTAGGTAACTGAGACACAGGATTAGTGGCTTCAAATTGAAATGCCCTCAGAAAAAAACTAATCTACCAACAGATTTCCCCCAAAGAAGTTCCAAGTGGGCTTCAGTTGAGTGGAGCATGTCTATTTGCTTAACGCTCACTTAGCAGGTGCCGTAGAATAATGTGGTGTAAATGTAAGCTATCTATTGGTGGTATGAGGTCAGCCTAGAAAGGCAAGTTGTGACCATGATTGAATTACTTTGATCAGCACATTAACCAGTTTGGCTAATTTCAGTCTGAAATATCAGGGTGTTTCTTTCTTTCTTTCTTTTTTTTTTTTTTGTAAATATTTCTTATTTACTTAGGTGAATGACTCAAATCTCCACTTTATGTAGTAATTCACAAAAGCTTTCTCATAGCTTTGTAAAATAATGTACTTGGCACCCACTGTTGGAAGATATAAATAAGGTGCTTCCACTTGATAAAAGTAAACTGTAAACACAGTGTTATCTCAAATAAGGCATTTTATAATTCTGATTAATAATACCCTTCTTCTCGACAACATGCATTTGTGGCTGCCAGGCATTAATATGCTACACATAGGAGACTTTTTAGAAAGCAAGCACACAGAAAAAGGCGTTTTAACATTACTGTCATTAAGTTGTAACTACACTTTCATTATGAACTTGGCTTTTCAAGCATGTATTTATCACCTAGAAAAGTGAGTTTTGGATTCTAGAAGTTGTTTTTTTTTAAAAAAAAAAATTAAACTTGTTTTAAAGAGTAATTCTCACTTCTAAATTTATTTGTAAAACATTGTAAGCAATCACATGTTGATTAACACTAGTAACAAAGTAATAAAAATATCTACAAAAGTTTTTCTCTTTCTCCTCCAATCTGTACAAAAAATGTGTATTTGAGAAATTAGCATTAATGATGAATAAATGACTTAATTTATAGGAAAATTGCTCTTAAATCAGATAGTGATCATGGAAGTAAAATTGTAACTCCTTCCTCCAAATGAGTATTGTTGATAAGGGGCTCTTTCAAAGCCAAAAGTGACCCTTTTCAATTCCAGGGTCAGTGGGACAACTTTATCTGTAGGACAATTAATGTTAGCCTTAAATAATACCTTGTTCCTCTCAGCTTTTATGTTCATCTAAATTCAGACAGCCTTCCTTGTTTTGCCTATTTCTCCATCTGCTTAAGGAAGAAATGAGTTCTATTTATGTTGATGGTAAATTTGGCCAACGATTATTGATGATAGTGGCATCATATGATTACTATAATTGATATCACTAAATTGTACATGTGCAAAATGGTGAATTGGCAAGTATTGTGTTCTATCTCTTTTTACTACCACAAAAATGGCATGTATAAAAGGAAGTTACATTTAGACCAATATATAGAAAGCAATGCCTGGTTAAAAACATAACAAACATACAAACACAGAACAAAAGGGAAAAGGAAACTAAGATATGTTAATATATATGCTTTTTTTTTTTTTTTTGGTCTCAGAATTTAATGTTGTAACATTTGCATTTGAACTACAGACATAACACCTCTGAAATCACTACTGTCAGACACCTGCACAGTACGTCAGAAACTTTCAGAAGCAAATAAGGTAGACAATGGTTCTTAGTGCAATTTTAGTCCAATTTTTAATGAACTCAGCTGCATTTTTCTACTGCAACCTAGGAAGCAATAATCAAAGGAAAGTATGAAAACCAAAGCAAAATAAAAACCGGTTCTCTTGTTTTCTTATACTTCTGAAAGAAAAAAAATTGCCCTTGGTGGCTCTTGTAGAAGTTGAATTCAGAATTCATGGAGGCGGGGCAAGATGGCGGACTAGGCAGAAGGATTGCACAGACCCTCTTCAACAAAGAAAAGGGAAACCAATTAACACAGACACAGAAGATAATCTTGGACCCCTGAGCCTTGAAGGAAAGGATGCAGATTTGGACTAAACCCCAACTAGCAGAAGAATTTGCATGAAAATACCAAAAAAAAGGAGACCTACGGAGCTGCGGTCTGACAGCGAACTGAGTGACCCCGACAATACAGGCGGCTCGGAGATACGCGACTGGTGGGAGGACCTAAGAATTAACCTAAAAATCACCCTGCCAGCCAGGGACTGCGCGGACTGTGCACCGTGGCTGGGGAACAAGCAGAGAAGGTGAGGAGAAGGGTGGGCTGAGCTGTGGACTTTTGCCGGTCCGAAGGCTGCTGCCATTTTGTAGGTTTAAAAAGCGGCTTGATTATTTTTAAAGAGACAGCGCTCTCGCAGATTCCAGAATTCAGGCTCCAGTTCTTTCTCCACTATATTCTATTCTCTAGATTTCTACCATTGCAAGGAACTAACTAACTACGATACTTGGCCCACACTAAACTGCTTCACAATAAGCCTTTTTGCTTCCATGAGAGGTCACTATCCAACAGCACCTATCACTTCTCTGAGCAGCATCTGTGGAATTCTGATTTATAATCAAAGCCCCATCCAAAATACATGACTTCAGTTACTTTTTTTTTTTCATGTCTGTGGATAGCAGTGCACTTTATTAACAACCAATACATTACAAGTATAGAAACTGAAGCTCCAAGAGTTTTGAGGGCCTGTAATCAGGAGAAATTTGGAGAATGCTAGGACAACTGACAATCTTTTAAAGATATACATGAAGATACACATCTTTCTTAATGTAATGTGTTAGTCAATATGTTGTTTATGCCATATTATGGTTGAAAAATGAATGTCAATCAATATCCTCAGTAGAGAAGAAAATCATTTCTTTTTTACATCATATACACATAACTATGATGCTAATAAAGACTAAATTAATGTCTTCCAGTCACAGATGTGGGCAGTGGTGCTAGAATTCTTGCCTTCCATGCAGGAGACCCGGGTTCAATTCTTGGCCGATGCACCTAGGCATAGCCCCCGCCCATCTGTCAGTGAGGCTTCATGTTGCTACAATGCTGAATAGGTTTAGAGCTTCCAGACTAAGACAAACTAGGAAGAAAGGCCTGGTGATATACTTCAGAAAATCAGTCAGTGGAAGCCCTACAGTGGTCCAAACTAACCAATCATGAGATGGTGCAGGACCGACCTGCATTCTGTTCCACTGTATGTGGGATCACCACGAGTGGGGCTGGCTTGAAGTCAGTCAACAATAGCAACATAGTCACAGAAACAACAGAAATTCATAGGGCTGTATCCAGCAGGAACATTCAACTGGAAGTTGAGGATAGTAAGAGTTTGAGTTCCCCATTTGCAGGACTGAACAAATGTAAAACACAATTGTTGGGCTTGTTCTCCAAGTTGGTTCCAGCAACATAGTTTTTGTTTTGATTTTATGAGTATTTCTGCTTTGCCTTCTATTGAGAAGGCTAATTATCTACTTATTTAATAGAGGAATCAATCTTACTTTTTATTCATTAACTGCTTTTGATAGTCTTCTATTTCATAAAAGGAGCTCAAGTGGTGCAGCAGTTAAAACACCCAGCTGCTAACCAAAAGATCGGGAGTTTGAACCCACCAGCCACTCTGTGGGAAAAAGATGTGGCAGTCTACTTCTGTAAAGATTTACAGCCTTGGAAACCCTATGGCAGAAGTTCTGTTCTGTCTTATGGGTCACTATGAGTTAAGATTGACTTGATGGCAGTGGGTTTTTGTATTTTTTAAAAAATTTTTCATAAAGAAGTAAGTCCCAGCAGCTCCTGTGCAACCAAATCTTATCAGGATAGGTTCCAAAGACACATTTATAGTTTCAGTTTAGAGCAAAATCCTGTGTGTCCATGAACGTGTACATATTTTTGAGTGACAGTCTATAGAGATTTCATCAGGTTCTGTAAGGGCCCTTTGGCTTAGGAAAGGCCAAGAATCATGGCCCTAGAGAAAGAAGAGTAAATTGTACAGATATATGATCATTTTAAGGAGCTCTAGTAGCATAGTGCCTAAGGCACTTGACTGCTCACCAGAAGGCTGGCGGTTCAAATCCACCAGCCACTCCTTGGAAGGAAGGTTAGGCAATCCTACTTCTGTAGTGATACTGCCTCGGAAACCCAAGGAGGGGTCGCTATGAGTCGGGGCCGACTCGACAGCAAACAACAACAAAAACATGATCATTTTAAGGATTCCATACTGATAGACCAATTGAGGTAGGAAAAGCACTCACCAGACTATATTTTGAAGAGAAATACTTTCAAGGTAGCATAAATAGGAATCACCTTGAATTCATTTTGGAAGAAAATTGTCAGATAGCCAATGTTTTAAAATGTATGAAAGAGAAAGCAAATGTGGCTTGCAACTCTAGTAAGGAAATAAAGACCACTATGGGAGCTCTAGTAGCTCGGGCGCTGTAGTGCCTAAGGCATTTGATTGCTAACCAGAAGTCTAGCAGTTCAAACCCACCAGCCACTCCTCGGAAGGAATATTAGGTAATCTACTTCCGTAGAGATACTGCCTCGGAAACCCAAAGAGGGGTTGCTATGAGTGGAACCGACTCGAGGGTAGTTGAGTTTGGTTTTGGTTTTATTTCTGGAGGCATTTTCTTATTCTGAATGGCCTTATTTTAGAAATTGTGGCAAAGCATTAATTTTTCTATTCCCTGTGTGTAGTTTATAATAATGATTTTAGGTCTTATTACTAAAATACTCTGCAAAAATAAGTATGAATAATAAAACTGATTCTCCTGCTGAAATCAACCCTTTATTTTTATATTTTTCTAAACTAATTTAGGTGTCCTACTCTAAAGCAATTAGCTATTTACATATGGACTGGAAGAAGGTAGATGCAGTTGGATTAATCTATTCTTAAACCCAAAAATGTTGCCTCAGGATGAAGTAGCATCCCTACAGAGACATTCAGTACAACAATAACATACGGTAAACAAGCTCTCCAAGATATCTCTAGGAGCTACAGTTTCAGGTTTTGGCTTTGGGGATGTCATTTTGTTATATGATAAACCCATAAACCCAGAAAGCTTTTTTGGTGCAAGCAGTAGTCTGTGCCAAAAAAATAATTATCAAAATGGGCCCTGCAATATAGCCTGTTTTTTTTTTTTTTTTTTTTTTTGATAGATTAGCTGAGGCCAGGTTTGTTTCACTCTGAAATAACGGACATTCAATTTGTCAAGCAACAGTTCCCAAGTTCCCATCTGGCTGATTCTCTTGCCAAGTCCCCAACCTGGGCTTGTGTGTCTAAAATTTCAGCAGCGACTTGAACCATGTGTCTTTGCACTAAAAAAGAAACACAATTATTTCCATGGGGGACCAGATGATTTCCATATCATTTATTGAACACATATGATCTACTTAGCACCACAGCAGCAGCTGATGAATTTAAGGCTGATTTTAGCCATGCTGTGTTATTAAAGAAAAAAGAAAGAAAGAATGTAAATTCCTTTAGTTTAAGCACTTTCTAAAATGGAATATCACAGAGTAGCAGGTTAGGTCAACAGAAGACTTGCTTGAGCCTTCATTCTACCATTACTGATTGTATGGCTTTAGGGAAGACTCATTCTTCCCAGCCTTAGTTTCTGCCCATATAAAATGTCAGTTTGAGTGGTTTCTAGTATTTCTCCCAATTTCTCAACCTGTGTTGACCAGCTGGGCAGAAATTTGTTGTGAGACTAGGAAATGAAGTCTGGGGATATGATTTTATTTTCTTAGCTCTGGTTTTTCCAATCTGAAACTCTGCAACCTAACTAGAAGGTTCTATGCTGGAAAACAACTCAAAAGTGGCAGCTGGCCATCCAGACCTTGGCTATTCCCTTTGGCCGGAGTTTGTTTGCTTAGCACCTTCCATTTCTGTTTACTTAAAACTTGGCTCACTGGACCAGCCTCAAGAGAGACACCTTTTGCTTTTTACAAAGGTCCAGTGAGAGGGAAAGGGTCATTTAAAGGTAGCAGGATCTGCAATATACTATCCAGCATCACAGGGCATGATGCAGAACACTCAACAGCATCGCAGAGAACAGTGACCAGTTGTGGTTTCTGTGTCTCTGAAGCAAAGCGGTGGTTGGAAAACATCAACAATTTAGTCCTTTACAGAGCCTGGCCTTGCTAGGGCAGGACTTTCACAACTGTAGGACATAGGTGTCTGCTGAAAAGCCTCAGTAGGGTTTTTTTTGTTTTGTTTTCCTGCTTTTTTGGGGCTAAGAGTTCTAGTATCTCCTTTCCTTAGCCATCTGGCCATAAAACAAACATAAAACTTAATGGGTGGGAGTCTAATTGAGGGTAAATCTACTTAAAGTGTTTTGTAAAAACAATCGTAAATACCCACATGCCAAGTTGTGAATAGTCTGCCCTCAGTTTAAACTGGCATCTTTACTTTTCCTGGCTTTCTACTATGATTCCTCCATGTTTTCTTGCTCAAGGACCATCGTAATTACCATGGAATAATTCTGTGAGGACACATTTTCAGGACACTGATTTTAAATACTTGTTGGCATCTGATATATGTCAGCCAGCTATTCATGGTTCCTTCATCTAAGGCAGTGGTTCTCAACTGAGGGCAATTCTCCCCATCACCCCCAGGGACATGTGGCAATGTCTTCTTGGTTGTCACAATTAGGACAGGGGTTGCTACTGGTGTCTAGCGTGTAGGTGCCAGGGATGCTACTATGCATCCTAAAATGCACCAGACAGTGAATTACAGTGAATTAACAGAGAATTACTGGGCCTAGGGAGCTCTGGTGGTGCAATGGTTATGTGCTTGGCTGCTAACTCGAAGGCTGGTGATTTGAACCTACCCAGCGGCTTTACAGGAGAGAGACCTACCAGTCTGCATTCATAAAGATTACAGCCTAGGAGACCCTATGGGGCAGTTCTCCTCCGTCACATGTGGTCACTCTGAGTTGAAAACTGACTCACTGGCACTCAACAACAACAACAGAAGTCAATAGTGCCAAGATTGAGAAGCCCCGATTGAAGGCTAAACCTGCACACCTTCCCGGTCCCCCTGCAGCCCATTCCTGAAAACTGGTAGCAATTTCCAGGGATTCCCAAACTTCCGGCATTGCAGAATCACCACCATCGTATTTGCCAGGTCCACATACACCAAAAGTTTCATTTACTTAACATGTTTGTTCAAATTAACTCAATTTTTAAAATGATTTAGTCTTGTCCTTACCAATAATATCTGTGAAATTGTACGTTTGGTGTTCTCATTAACTTTTTAAACACACATTCAAATAAAAACACAGCTAATAACCTTAAAAGTGCTTGTCCACCTTCTGCCTAAAATTTTTTACATGCTACTGTGCATGCCAGATTCTAGCGTTACCAGCTTTGGGGTTGGAGTGGCTTTCAAGGATTTTGATCCCAGCTATCCCTCTGTGGCTTAACTCCCTTCAATCATATTCTCGCCAAGTGCTCAGGCAGCCAGTTCTTGGGCTCTATGGTAATGGGGAACTCATTCATATATTCCACAAATTGTTACTGGGTGTAGACACACAGGAACTCACCAGGCCAGCCATTATGCTAGATACAGGGGATAGATGGTGGTGGTGATGCAATGTGGGGCATTAAGACACAGTCCTTGCCTTGATGTAGCATACAAATTAGTGGAAGGAATCATTATCTTATTTTCTCCATGTCTGCTATACATGTTTCCTAGTTACTTTGTTATGTTTATCACAAAAATAATGATACATTTAGGGGAAAAAAGAGAACACCCGTAAACTATGGAACTCAGCCCATGAATAACCCAAACTTTCCTTGTATACTTTCAAATTGAACACTGCACCCCAAGGCCTCTTCCATGTAACGGAATTGAAAATGCAAAGACTTTGGGAGTGTGGTATTCGAAAAGTTCCTTTCTAAGGATGCACAGAGAACCAGATGGGAGAGGGAATGAAGGTGACCTATGAACTATGAAGAGGAAGATTTTCCCTATCAGTGGCAATCCTTGTCTCCCTATCTTTCATTCTTTTGCCATTCTCTGAGCTCCTGGAAACTGTTATCCCTGGACTGTTTTGTCACATATCTATTTAGTTCCCTTTTTTGCTGCTGGTGTAGAGTGCATTCATTTTTATGTTAGACCAAAGGACGTGGCATCATTTGTATGGGATGAAGTCTGTTAGAGACTGGAGTGTCCTCCCCTTCTCTCAAATACTCACAAAGTGGCCTTGTTATAAAATACCCTCAGTGAGCTGCCTCTGGAAAGCAAAGTCATGCAAAATTCAAATCGTGCTGAGTCAAGCAGATAAAACACGACTTGTCTTTCATACCAAAATAATAATCATAAACCTTCCTTTCCTCCATGAAACAGATAATCTCGTACAAGCCAAAGCAGCAACCTCCTCACCCAGTGAATATAAATAGCTGTCTTTCAGTTGAAGATTTATGATGTACTAGGCACTGTGCTAACTGCTTTGTAGACATTAGTTCATTTATTCCTCCCAACAACTCTATGAGGTTATTATTCCCATTTTATAGATGAGGAAACTGAGAGCTAGAGAGTTAAACACAGCAAATGATTGCCTAACTAGGATATGAACCAAACCCTGTGCTCTCAGTCCTACAAATTTAGGCCTCTCCTCCTCAGTGCCTTGTAGGATGATTGATTTAACATGGAATGGTTTGTTTTTGTTTTGTAGACTGTCCCAGAATTAATGAAGTATGAGGAATAGCCTGCAGTGCCTCTGTGGGCTAATATGTCCAACTGCTTCCTGAGGGGGCAGGAAATGCCAGCTGTACACAGGACCTTTGAGTCAGAGGAGAGAGACAGTGGCCTGCACCTGAAGCTGCATGTTTGTCTGGGTGAGTTCTTCTGCTTTCTTTTCCAGTGACATCACCCAGACCTTCCTCTTCTGTCTGCAGCGTGTGGCAGCTGCCCGGTTCCGTTCCAGAAATTTCCGCCGCCTCTCATCGGGATCCTCGTCCACCACCCTCCGCCGGCGCCCCCCTGTGGGCTGGGGCGGCTGTATTGTCTGGGTTGGCTGCATCTGTTGTGTCGCTGGTGATACCTGCTGGACCCAGTGGGAGGGTTGGTGGGGATGGGGAAGGGAGATGTTGGGTAGGGGAAGAAACCCAAGCCAGTGTTAAAATGCACAACACACAGAGTCAACTGCTTTAGTAAGCATGTCAAAATTGTTTCTAAGAATGAAGTAAATAATGAAATCACTCTTACGGGGGGAAAAAAAGAAAAGAAGAGAAAAAAAGCACCACTGTGCAATATTCTCACACAGAGTTGCTATGAATTGGAATCAACTGGGTCAGCAGTATGTTTGGTGCTTTTTTGTTTTTGTCTTTTAATCTATATTCTATGACATTCTGGCCAGATATAGGAGTCATTTATGAAAAGATTTAGCCAGATACCACTTAGATTGTTCCTTGATAGGCATTTACCCTAATTATGGCAGAGGAAAAATATTTTTTCTCCTTCAGATGTTAAAAATACTTACTTCATAATACATTTAAACTCTTTATAGTAGCCCAGGTATGGTACAGGGTGAACCCAGAGAGGTCAGGGCTATTGTCACAATATCAATGCGTGTTCTGTCAACTGGAGAAACCCCTTCTGGGCAAGTTGATAGTTTTCTTTTCATTGTAATGGTGTTAAAACCATGTTCCTGAAACACTCAGCTGGGACATTGTGGCCACTGTGACTCCTATCAAAATAATCCATGTAGTCTGGGAAGCAACTGGAATGCAATTTTCACTATTTCACAGTTCTTACTGCTGAGGAACCTAGACCTGCAAACTCCAGCCAAATCACCTGCTTCTCATAGTGTTGACTCAGACAGGAAGTTACAGGAGCCCTTCTGGGGCCCAGAGGTGATTGGAAACAGCATCTTGGAGACTATGCAATCAATACTGAAACAGCACTAAGCCCTGTTACACACTGTTGTGTGTGAGAGAGTGAGGGATGGCTGGGCATCCCCATATACTTCCATTATAAGGAAATCCTAGGAGTGGCAAAACACTTTATTAAAAAATTTTACTATGCTTACAGATTCCTTGTAAGGTCTGCATGGGGCTCAGTAACATCTAAGGTTTTGGAGACCCCCACACGTATAGCTTTATTTCCCTCCATGAGTCAGACACACAGCACCTTGTGAAATTTCTATGACTGACTCTTTATATGTCTGGACACCTAAGGCTTTCCTTAATGCACTTCATTTCTTCCCCCTTCTTCATTCTCAATAAAGGGGGTCTTTTCCCCCCTCTTTCCCATTTCTCAGTCACTCAGGTTTATAGCTGTAATACCTATAAAGTTATTTTACAAGAGACATTTAACCTATAGAAATAACAGGCAAAAAGTTTTAAAACTGAAGCTCAACAACCTTTTCTACCACATTCCAGCCCTATGATTGAAATCAATCAGAATGACTGTAATTGCACTAATAATGGCTACTGGCTGACATCAGCTGACTGGTGATGATATATTTTAACCCTAAACTCCATCAAACCTTACGTGAGTGACTGTAAAAGAATTAGATCAGGATTGAGGTTGGACTGCATCTCAGTCATTTTATTTAAAGCAAAGACATTTTCTAAAATAGGTGTGTATTGGCGATTCCCATCCTTCTGATCACAGACAAATAACAAATAACTTGTCTAAGATCTTACTCACCAGAGTGGCTGGTGCAGACGTAATCCTTGTTATTGGCAAAGATTTAGCACTTGTCATTTCAGATGCTAACCTCTGAGTTAACTACTCCAAAGCAAAGCATTAAGAGGGAATGGACTAACTGCTCTGCTATTTTTGCCTTTACTTTTTCTTTTTTGAAACAATAATCTCTTATTGCCAGCTCTAGACAAGACTCTCAAGTGGGCACAACTGGTTTTTAATCTCCCCTGCAAGAACCTCTCCTTCCATGCTCTATCTTTCTACTCTAACTTCACCAACCTCTATCCCCTGCCATGTTTCCTACACCTTCACCCAAAGGGGTAAGCTATGTGGAGATTTCAGGTTCAGTTCAGATTCAGGGTATAACACATGGATTGGTTAAGGAAAAACTTCCTTTAGTCATGAACTGACACTAGGACTTTGGGATCTTATCTTTGCATGTAACAGAATCACAAACAGGAGAAATTGCAAATGCAACCTGAATACCCGATTCTGAGTCCTGGTAAATGTTGTTACTAATAGCTTTAATTTTCAAAATGGGATTCTGTTGACAGAGAGGCTCTGAAAGCTCTGATGAAGACAATGAACTGTGATTTCCTAAAGACAACAGTTATTCTAAATAACCTTAGAGTCTCGGAGTTGGAAAGACCTGAAGAAACCTCTATTCCTACTGTTCTAATAATAAGACAATGAAGCAACACAAGTGCTCAGTAATCGACCAATTTAGTACAATTTAAGGGTGATATTTAAAACACTGTCTAAATGATTTTGTTCAAATTTTAATAAGTCCAACATAGACTTTTTCTTTCTAGTATAAGAATAAAAATGGAACTGGTCATGCAGCTAATTATAATAGCAATTAACTAATTGCATAGACAATTGGCCACTTACTGCCTTGAAACATAGGGCAATTAGCTAATTGGTAATTAGCTAATTGAATGGCTTTTATATTCAAAGAACTGTTAAACTTGTCTGTGAAATAACTAGCCCACAACGGTAAACAAAACTTAATTCTCCCCTTTTCCTTAAAAAAAAAATGTAACCTTGAATCTATTTGCCTATTTTTAGCTTTGTAGTTTTTTCCCCCCTTCTAAATACACATTTCAGTGCATCATTTGACTGAAAATGTGACTATAAAGATGCTCTGGATAACATTTTATTTCTAAACTACTTGCTAAACTTCTATCATATTATTTCAGTTTGGAAGTAATTGTAACTAATGCATTGAAAACAGATCTGAGGACTTTTATAGAGATTCTCATTTAATACTCATAAGAACCTATGAAGCTATTTTCTTATTGTTCATATTTTGCAAGTGGGAAAACTGAGTCTTAGAAAGGCTAATTAACTCAGTCCACAGCCACACAGCAAGTAAGGTAGAAAAAGAATTAAGACTGTCTCACTCCAACGCTTGCAATCTTATTCACTACAAGCAATACTTCTAAAGATCTTTATCAAAGTACGCTTATTTCAAATGATTAAGTTGCTTGTGGATGACCCAGTTTGTGGATGGCTGTGTGGGTTTGGTGTGTATATTTGGGGAGGGGAGTTAAAGAGCTCAAAAGCTGTCTGGTTGTGAAGTCTTGTCTCCAGAGGCGGAGGTCAGAGGAGAGGGTGAATAAGTGTTACGTGGCGTCCCAGGCTTCCCACTACATGCTGACCCCACTGGTTGGAACCAGGCAGTGCAGAATGGGTGGAGGGGCCAACGGTCATCCTGCTTAAGGATCCAAAGTGTCTGAATCTAGCTATGTTCTCAGCCATGCCCTTCCTCCACTTACTAAAACCCACTCGGGTACATGGGTGGGTGACGTAACGTCTGCCTGGTCCCCCAACCCTCTTTCAGTTAGTCTAAATGCTGGCTTTCTTTCTAGCCACTCCTGGTGACTCTCCACCACTGGGATTTGGCCTTTCTCTTGAACTGATCATCTACAGAGCTTGGCTCTCTCTGCTTCCTCCAACGCATTTCACATTTGGTGGGATGAGTCACCTCTCCACACCATTTATACATCACCTTTCACCCTAGCATCCATTACAAGCCTCTTAGTCTGCCTTGAGTTGTAACTCTTTAGATTTTTAGCATTTACTTTACTCAGAAGACTGCCCATTGTATGGAACTTCCATTTTACAGGTGACATAAGTGAGTCTCTATGATGTTATAAAGCATAACAGCTAGAATTAGCATCAGAATTAACTTATTTTTCTCATTTTTTATTTGTGTCTTTCCTCTCAAGCTTAAATTCTTTCCAATCTTCCCATTGGTGTTTCTTTTTTAAGGCTAACTTTGTAACATAATGCAAGAACACATTTTGGAGAACTTGAAGTTCACATTTGCCCTAGAGACTGAGCCTGAAATTTTAATGTGTTAGTTATAGAAATTATGATTTTGTAGGGTAGTATAGATAGCCATTACCTCCTAGGAATGAATAGAGCTCCCCAGAGCACCAGATAGAACACTTGGGTTTGTCAAACAAGGCTGATGTGAATGACCCCAGCTTTATAGCTTGAACTGTTAACCAGAAGGGGGAAAGAGATCATTAAAAGGGTCTACCTGTGCTTGGTTGCCGGTGTGCAGGGGTGGGTGTGGTGAGGTCTGGTGATGCGCTGGGTGTGCATGAAGGTGGGAATGGGAGTGATGATGGGGGTGGTTCTGCTGGTGATGGGGTTGAGGATGAGAATGGTGTGCTGGGTGCTGGTGCTGGTGCGGGTAGGGGTGATGGGGTGGCAATGTTTGGTGCTGATGAGGGTGTGAGTGCATGTGATGGTGTGGCGTCTGGTCCTGCCGGGAGCCCATCATTTCCATCATGTGTCCCATGGTGTTCATATTCCCATTAGACATGGCAGCAGGGTGGTGAGTCAACGCAGCCTTCAACCTCTGAAACAGAACAAAACAAGAGGGAATCACTGAGGTCAGTCATGGACGCATTAGGGGTTTTGAATCAAAAGGACTCATATTTCCAATTCTATAGGAATATTTTTATTATAATATTTTATGGTACTATGGTTAGAATTTTTATGGGGAAAAGGAAGCTTTTGTGTTAATTTCATATTTTCTTATTTATTGTGGAGGGGAGGAGACTAATTGTCAGCTATAAATGCTATTTCAACTTCTACAGCTGATGAGCAGTGTATCATATCAAAATTTAGACATTCTATAAAGAGGTGTTTCCTACTATTCAGTTGTTCATCATATCATACTGACAGCTGAATTCAAGTATGAACCAAATAGAACTATTTAATATGACAATGCCACTGAACAAAAATCTAAAACAGACTATATCTGATATAGCTTAGTGTTTTATAGGGGTCATAAGAATAAAACATTTTGCTTCTCACTCAATGTTTAGTGGACATTGAAATTCTATTAAGGATGATGGAAAAAAATCATTGGAAAACATGATGAACATAATTAGTATCTGAATTCTACATGTGAAAGTTATTGAAATAGCAAAGGCTATATTACATACATATTTACCACAATACAAATTTTTAAAACATTAAAATAAATAAAGATTTTGCCTCTCAAAAGATTTCTTAGACACAAAGAAGACATAATTTCAAATTTTACGATGCAGCAAGGTACTAATATAATTTGAGTGCTTCAAATTAGAATTAGTGATCCACAACTTTTGTTGGCCCTTTTCATTGGTTACCATGATATTTCTCACACAATAACTTTGTTCTGACTTTGTTACAAAAATGAAGAAAGTAGAAGAATATGGAGTATTGCACTTCTTCACCTTCTTTAGTGGATGAGTCACATCAATAGCCCAAATCTATTTCTAATTACCCATCAGCAAGCAAGCAAATGTACAAAGACATGCAGTAAAACTTGTGAAAGCTGGAACCTGCATAAGGAGAAAACCTGTTAGAGAAGGAAAACTCAAATATTTTCTACTAAAACGAGTGAAAGAAGAGTGGTTGAGAAAACTTGAGAGACTCAGAAAAACAAGGCAGTCCTGTGGAGTTCCAGCTCTGACAGGTTCCACTATAACCCCTATTTGACTATCTAAAGCAAGCACTGGCAAATTTTTCTGTTAAGAGATAGGTAGTAAATATTTTAATTGCTGCATACTGTATGGTCTCTGTCACAACTACTCAACCCTGCCATTGTAGTGTTAAAGCAGTTGTAGACAATAGATAAATGAATAAGCATGTCGTGTTCCAATATAATTTTATTTAAAACCCAGTCGCTATGGAGTTGATTCCAATTCACTGCAAACCCATGTGTGTCAGAGTTGAACTGTGCTCCATAGGATCTTCAATGGCCAATGTATTGGAAATACATTGCCAGACTTTTCTTCTGAGGAGTCAGTAAAAGTCTCTAACCTTTTAAAAAGCACTTGGTTAGCAGCCAAGTGAGTTAACAGTTTGTACCACCCAGGGAGGGAGTCCCTAACTTTATTTACAGACATAAAATTTGAGCTTCATATAATTTTCACATGTCATGAAATATTATTTGGCTTTTGATTTTTTTTCAACTAGCCATTTAAAACATGTAAAGAACATATTTAGCTCCTGTGTGTACAAAATTAGGCAATGGGCCAGATTTGGTCCTCAGGGTGGAGCTTGCTGACCCTGATCTAAAGAATCATTTGGTAATTAGTTTAGTCCCAGTTTCTTCAAAACTGTGTTTTCTTCTACACAGACAATAATCATTATATCTTGAGGGGCACAATGTGCTAAATACTGTACAACACAGTTCTGCTTTGGAAATATGTATTACTCAGAGATGATAGTCTGATTGCCAAGACCACATTGGCTTCATGAAGCATTTACCAAAGCACTCAAAGTTCTCTCCTGATTTGTTCCTGTCTGATCAATGTGAGTGCTGTATAATGACGAGGGGAAAAGAAGGGCTGTATTTAAATCATGATCAAAGTGACTATGCTCCAGCCCTGTGCAATACTAATGATTCTCAACGGGTTAGAGTAAAATATTGATAAATACCAATTCAATTATCAAAACCTTTAGTTAAACATGAAGAACCTCCACTTGCAGAAAACAAACAAACAAGGGGCAGTGAAGGGGATGACAGAATGACAGACTATATGCTACCATTAGACAATCATTTAAAACACTGTCTGCATCATGATTCAGTAACCACTTAGCCACACACCTCCTCTTTCACGAGCAACAGCTACTATTCAGCAGCTCCTGACCCCAGAATGATGATCCTGAAGAAGAGCTTCCTGAATCCCTGGATATTGTATTTACTACTAAATGGAAAAGTGAGCTAATACTCCTCATCTCCAATTTTAGAAATGACCTCATTGTTTTTAATAAAAATGTTCATTATGAAAAATTCAAGCACTGCTTAAAAGCACAAGGAAGACAGCAACAGATGAGCCACATGCAGTGTTTGCACTTGGTGGCCAAACAGCATCCCAGACAACTCTGCATATGCAGATGCAGAGACGGAAGGACAAGTACAATCATTTCATCATCACAGTGGCATCATGGTAGACGTGCAATTAAAAAAACAAAACAAAACACCTTTGTTTGAATCTCACAGAAGTAAAATAAATGAAAACGGAATGGATTTCTGGACTTTATATACGTGTTTCTCTTTACCCCAAGAAAAGTTTTTATATGATATCTCCAAAGTTAAAACTAAAAACTTAACACACTGTTGTTCTGACTCATAGTGACCCTACAGGGCAAAGTAGAACTTTCCCATAGGGTTTCCAAGGCTGTAAATCTTTATGAAGCAGACTGCCTCATCTTTCTTCCATGGAGGGGCTGATGGGTTCAAACTGCTGACGTTTTGGTTAGCAGCCGAATGCCTTAACTTAACAGCATCATCAGAGTTTCCAAAGCTAAAGGCAGGGGGAGCTATGAAAAAAGAATATGTTGAAATCATTATGGTGTTTTTAATTCGGCATATTGGATGGTATTGCTGGACTGCCTAGTCTTTGGAATTTCATTATTATAAAAGCAATATAGCTGCATGTTTTTTTTTTTTTTTTTTTTTTAAATCCAACTACTACAAGACTTTTAGGTGAAAAAGTGAAAGTGCCCTGTTTATCCCTCTCCCTCTAAGCCCTGGTCCCATTCCTCAGATGTAATCATCATAGAGTTTCTCATATATCCTCAGACATTCCCTAAGCATTTATAAACAAGCTCTTTTTATGATACATAGTTTTATATCTTGCTCTTTTTTGCTTTAACCATCTATCTTAGACATTTTTTTATATACTATTGTTGTTGTTGTTAAGTGCCGTCGAGTCGTTTCCAACTCATAGCGACCCCATGCACAGCAGAACGAAACACTGCCCGATCCCGCACCAGCCCCACAATCCCTGCTATACTCGAGCCCATCATCGCAGCCACTGTATCAATCCATCTCGTTGAAGGCCTCCCCCTCTTTCGTCGACCCTCCACCCTACCAAGCATGACATCCTTCTCCAGGGAATGGTCCCTTCTTACAACATGACCAAAATAGGTGAGACGAAGTCTGGCCATTCTTGCTTCCAAGGAGCATTCTGGCTGCACTTCCTCCAGGACAGATCTGTTAGTTCTTTTAGCAGTCCATGGTACTTTCAGCATTCTTCGCCAGCACCACAACTCAAAAGCATCAACTCTTCTTCGGTCTTCCCTATTCATTGTCCAGCTCTCACATGCATACAAGGTGATTGGAAATATCATGGCTTGTGTCAGGCGCACCTTAGTCCTCAAGGAGATATCCTTGCTCCTCAGCACTTGAAACAGTTCCTTCGCAGTTGACTTTCCCAATGCTACACGTCGTCTAATGTCCTGACTGCTGCTTCCGTTGGCATCGATTGTAGAACCAAGCAATGTGAATTCCTTGACAACCTCAATCTTCTCTCCATTGATTGTGATTATATACTATAGCTAGCATTTTAGGAGCACTCACTATATGCCAGTCCTGTGTTTTACAAGTCTTAACTCACACAATCTTCAGAGCAGCTCTATGAGGCTAAAAGGAAGGCAGAGTCACTTGCCCGAGTGCTCAATGCTGATGAGAGTGGAAGCAGGATTTGATAGCAAGCCCTCTGCTTCCAGAGCCTGTTCCCTGAACCACTATTCTACACAAGCAGGAGAGAAGATTCAGGAAGGCATGCCATTGACTCTTAGCCAAAAGCAGAAATGAACTATATTATGTCACATCATCTTCATCAAAAGGAAAGGCAGAAAGATAGAGAAGAGACTAGAAAAGTCACAAGAGGAGACGGTCCAGCAGTAGCTGTATGTGTGTGTGTATGTGTGTGTGTGTGTGTGTGTTATTCGGCACACACAGGAGATCCAGAAACATCCTTTCTGAAACTTGGTGGAGAGGAGAGTAGACAATAAGAACTACCAGGAAGCTCAACTACTGGCTGCTGTAAGAATCGGTACTTACTTTTTCCTCTAAAACACACATCTGATAAGGTCAATAGATCCTTTCTCCCGGTGCCCACTTCCTCACCTTTGTGTAAAACACTTCAATGCAGACAGGGGGCACATGGGAACTCTCTGTACTTTATGCTCAATTTTCTGTAAATCTAAAACTGCTCTTCTTTTAAAAAAAAAGTCTACGATTAAAACAAAAATGTTCAGGGGATGAAGGTCAAAGCCTTTAGTATGGCTTATAGGTATAACCTGGTAACGTAGTGCCTAAGGCATGTGACTGCTAACCAGAAGGCTGGCGGTTCAAACCTACCAGCCACTCCTCGGAAGGAAGGTTGGGCAATCTACCTCCGTAGTGATACTGCCTCGGAAACCCAAGGAGGGGTCACTATGAGTTGGGTCTGACTCGACGGCACACAACAACAACAACATAGGTATATCTTGTAGGGTGTGGCCCTGCCTTCCCGTCAGCCCCATACTATTTCCTTGCAGGCCACACTGACATGATTTTAGTCAATGGAGAGC